ACTGCCCCGACCTGACCCACTGGACCTTACTTACAGCCCTGGCATGACCTTACCTTCAGCTCTGACCTGACCCACCGGACGTTGCCTACCTACATATGTATATAGCGTGGCGGCGTTCGTGGAGCGACCGATGCCGGTGACAAATCTGCATCCCGGATATATCTATCAGCCAGACACGACGTCCAGCAGGGGTGTAGCGATAAAAACGTACACGCCGAAAATGGTACCTTTTATAGAGCAAATGTGCCCAGAAGCCGACAGTAAAGATGGCTCAGTTACTCAAACTGCTGTTCTTGTTCAGTAATGCCAAATGCTCAAATGCTGCACGTCTTGCCAAGTTTACTATTAGATTTTCAGTTGCAAACTAAACATGATAAAGCCTTATTTCTCAACCATTGGTACTTGTTATCGATTTCCGAAGGAGTTTATTTCTTTCCATCCAAAGTGCTTTTTTGTGGCTGACAAGATATATTAAAAAAAAAAAAAATGCTGGTAATGCCAGCGTGAGAAAGAGGACAATAATGCTGTGCCGATATACTATCACACCGTGGCAACTACAACGCATTTCACATTTTATAATGTTGAGAGTTGAGGCTCTGGCTGATGGCTGTTTCTCTCTCGGAAGTGGTGACACACCAGTATGTTTCATAAAGCTCGACTTTTATGCGAGCCAGCCTATGAAGATGTCGTTCAGAACCCATTAGGGCTATGGAGGGGCCGATGACTCATCCCTATCGACCGCCCAGATTGGTCACTGACCAGCTGGTGTACCTAAAGCAGCGCTCAGTTCATGGTCGATGCTTCTCTGTGTTTTATGTGATTTATGTACCACATATCATCGTTTAAACAATGTCAGATTTATTTTAAATTCATTTTCTGACATAACAATAAGGCTTTTCGCTCACTTAATCACTTCCTTTTGAAAATTTATCCATCTTTATTTCGCATCCACACCAGTCGGTGGTGAATAAATGAAGCAATTTCAAAACGATTTTGACGTTATGCCGATGCTGGTCCGTATAATTTCCCCAAGGTTACAAAATGCTGACAGCATGTCATGACTTATGATCGATTTTTTTTTAACGAGCCAACTTTTCTACTACAAAATTTTATCGTATTTTTACCACCATTTCATTACATGTGCAGTGTTAGCATAAGCTTTTATATCCATATTAATGTACCTGTACCTATTATGTTATCAATTAAAAGCTGCAGATGATGAATTTCAAAATAAAATCAAGACGCTTAAGGCGTAACACAACTCTCAGTTGAATGAATAATGACTCGTATTCCTATAGATTTAATTGCACGGATTCCTTTACTCAGCATCCATACCGAAAGTTGAACGGGTTGAACTATAAACAAGTCAAGACCTTTAGTGAATGTATAACGACTACTCTGCATTTCAACGAATTGTTTTGACATTTGCTATGCGTTTAACATTCTGCGAAACGTTTAGTGCCCGTTTAACGCTTAGTTACACATCACTCGATAACTTTCATGAATTGTTCATGGGTTAGTGATAAACACACATTATCTTCCGTACAGGATAATAGGTACTTATTCTGTATTCATGCTAATACCGATGAAAACACGTTCGACACTTCTTTATGAAAACGGGGGAAAACGGGCATTTTTTTAATGCCCTGTTTGCTTCATGCCGTTTTGCTATGTTAGACTGCTTTTGTGCTTAGGTGGGTGTAGGTAGCCTATGCATTTATACCCATCCGTTTACTATGCAATACAATAAAATACAATCACACACCTCCTCCCTCCCTCCTCCTCCCGTGTGCTCTTTAACGATGGACGGTCACCATGTAACGCATAACTTCATATTTTATGTGGCCTGCGCCTACGGGGATGGTGCTAAAATTTTGAATATTGCGAAGCTTTTTCCGAGCTAAGCAATTGGCCTTTGAATCTTACATCAATTCCCTCAACTGTAGCCAGGTATTAGGTACCGGAGTTTGACACTGGCTGCACCTATACCTACTTCAGTCATGCACCTGGTCCTGGGCTCTGGGTTGTGACCAATGGCTTGGAGACATTTGCTCTACAAGTAATACATGCACACGCGGGCTACTTTTTACTCGGTGTTACCAGTAGGTAACACCAGTAAAATAATGTACTTACGGAGCTCTGGCGAGGAGTGTCCCGGCCTCAGCACAGCCTCCCCTCCAATCAATACAGTCAGTGGTCGGCCGGACAGACCCGGCTCTATAGGTGGCAGCACCGGCCGCAGCGACACCTGTGATGGGTCCGTGAAGCATTTCGGGGAGGCGGAGCTACTATAGATGTCGCCACAGCTGACGAATGGTGCCGCTCGTAACACCTCTTCCCCGCAGTCAACGTTAGAAGTGCTGCGTCGTTCTGCCTTGGAGCCGTATCAAGGGCCGAAGCCTGTGACTAAGCCGTGATCGCCATGCTATACGTGGAAAGCTTTTGATGTCAATACATACATAATCCCTACACACTTACATACACATACATACATACATTCTACATACATACATACATACATACATACATACATACATACATACATACATGCATACATGCATACATGCATACATACATACATACATACATAGCATAGCATACATACATGCCTACATAGCCAGGTACAGCTTAAGCGCTCTTGCGTTCCAGAAATTTAATCCTTTTGGTTGCAGGCTTTCGTTTGCTGTCCCTTTTCGTTACGCTATACCATTATTTTTCCGAAATTGAGAGTTGGTGAGCTTGAAGTGACACCCCCTGCAAATGATCAGTGAGGAAACGCATTAGCAACCGTAGGGTTAAAAATTATATCTTCGACAAACTCACTTTTACGCACTTTTATGCCAGCGTTATTGAACACTATTGGAACACTCTTGTTTTGTTTATGCTGGCAGTAGTTATTGTAACTAGGTAGGTACCTACTGCAGTCTACTAAACTGTCTCGCAAAGAGTCGCCTTGCTTCTATGTTGATGCCCATCCATACCTAATGGTATGTTGGTTTCAGCTGATATATTTTTGTTGCGAAAAGCTGAGTGAAAAGAGTACCTAAGCCATCGTGATAATCCTCCATCAGCATACCATCATCTCGTGCACTGACTGTTTGGAGCTAACTGAGCATTTCCTCGTACGCCTCTCTTTCCTATACCCAGCCCAAAATGAGTGCCTATTTGTGAGTAAAAATGTGTGACTTTGCATGTGCCTTATCGATAACTTTCATCGCTGTCCCTGACCTTAGGTATGTTGTTTTCCTTGAATAATTGAATTGTTTGTGCTTACTGGTTGTTAAGATGCACTTGACATTATTTTATGGTGCTGGATGAGTGATAAGTGATGTGCAATAATGTGCATTGCATGGAGCTGCGCTTGCTTTTGTTACTTGGAGAAAGGTAACAAGAATGGCAATTGGCAGCTGCTCTATCCATTCTGTAGGTACATAAACTTTGTGTTTTTAGAGCGAGTAAGGGAGAATACGTATTAACCCTATTCCTGGCGGGCTCCGCCGGGACAAGAAACTGGCGGGGGGGGGGGGCCGATTCGGCCCCCCCTGAGATCTCGAGAACGAAGCAAGATAGCGACAAACGGTAAACGGCATCGGATACGCACGGTCAAGATCTACAATTTTTACTCAGGTCATTTTCAGGTCAGGTCAAAGATGACGTCACAGGGGTCGAAAAAGTCAAAATGGCGGCGCTAGAAATGGAGAGTTTTTCTCGAATAACTTTCGAATTAGTCAAGATAGGAACAAACTAAGGGCATCATCGTGATCCTCTCGTCAATCCGCATCGAATGATATATATGTTGACCTCGCAAGGTCAAGGTCAAAGGTTGACCTCAGGTCACGTGACCTCGAGGTCATCATGTATATCATTCGATGCGTCTTGACGAGCTGAACACAATGAGACCATCCACGCGTCTGTATCTTGTTCCTGTACGGAGTTATTGGCCAAAAACCTTTGGTGACCTTTGATGACGTCACATGACCTCACAGCTGCCCAACAGCAAAACAGACCTCAAGGTAGTGAAGGTTGATCGTATATGAAGTCATGTATGGTATATGGGGCCATTCCGACCCGTTTTAGTGGTAAAAACAGGGAGCTGATTTTTCCCCCATTGACTTATAATGGGGAGGTCGCGAAACTGACCTGACCTTAGGTCACCGATATCAAAATTCCGAGATATACAAATTGCACATACTGGTACCCTAACTAAAGCCTGAAGAGAAGAAATTGATCGGTCAAAAACTCTAGCTCTGGCGTGATTGCAAACTTTTCTGAGGTAGGGTCACCAAACCGCCTCTGGTGACCTGACCTGAGGTCAGATCAACTCAAAATTTTCAGACATGTTGCGTAGAAGCCTTTTAGGAAAAGTCAGAAAATTTGAGCTTCCTAGCTCAACGCGTTTGGGAGAAATAACCAAAAAACCTCAGGGGGGGCTCCTGAGGCCCCCCCCCCCCGCCAGGAATAGGGTTAAGATAACTGCGTCTACAGGTCCGGGAGCACATTCTGAACGGGACAAGAGGGAAAACGTCATCTGTTGTACGGAGCTTTGTTTTTGGCACGATAATTATGTCCATGACTACAGCTTTGGAGAGGTGCGCTAGTGGTCTCTGCAATCGTGGCAGAGAAGCCAGAGATGCGCTTCTGGTAAGAGATTCGTCCTTGGTCAGAGATGATGTGACTCTGGCCACTGGCCAGACATGTGCTGCGGTAGCCGCTAGACTATGGAACGAGCTCGTAACATAAAATAATATCTTTTGAGTTTTGCTCTTTTGTTGTAAGATGCGACTCCGGTCCGGCCCCATACTTGCGTCACCGACCCGATTTGGGTCCCTGACATAATTAGTGACCCCTGAGCTGAGGAATGCACCCTTAGTTCCCGAGAATGGCCAAAGAGGCGGGTTTCTGGCCACAGATGGGCCCAAGCATGACATGTAGGCTTCTGACCGAATCACTGCGACCGTTTTTCCGTCCATATCTTTACCATGGGAAGAAAACATTTGACATACGTTGTACTGTGTACACTTTATTTGAGATGACGATAGCATGAATAACCGTACAGCAATGATAATAATATTAATAGAATAATAGCAATAATAATGATAATAATAATGCCTCGTTCGGCTCACCATTCACAATTATTCGAACAGAAACACATCTACAAACTAGGCTTCCAACCAGTAGGCCTTCCAACCAATAATGGTAGTCCCTTAGCCACACGTAATATTCACGCTGAAGCATGGATAAAGTGCTGTTCACACCGTCACACCACACGGTGAAGAAGACAGACTCGGAAAACGTGAGCCTGCGGAGTCAAATACGGCGCATCCGGCTACAAACATCCATCCTGTGCGCGCTCACACACGCCTGGACGCCGCCCCAAAGCCGTGCAGATACATTCGCTGCAGCGGAACACATCAGCGTCTCCGCCAGCGCCACTCTCACAACTCACTCACTCACTAGCTCACTCACTAACTCACACACGTGCTCTGACAAACGAACGGCGGCGCCCGAGGGCCACTTTTATGTCGTTATTGCTAGAACATACGTGGTATTTGCATAGGCACTCAGGAGCCGTGTCTCTGCCGACACTCGAAGGCCTCGTGGAATGCTGACTATGGGCCGCTCCGCAGGAGCTAGCCCGTGGTTGGTCGCCCGCCGACCACCTAAACAGAGGTAACTGTGCCTCTCGAACGCTGTGCGCGGTGGGATCAGGTGCCAATTTTACATCACAAGTGCCGTGCCGTGCTGTGTCGACCATGGCCACAACGGAGAGTGAAAAGACACAACGCACATCGATGAACCCACACGCCACAAATACACGGACAAACAATCACCAACACTTATCACACCTCAAGTCGGACGCTCAAGGCGTTTCGCGCGCAGCCATATTTGTAGGGGCCCTAACGCGGCCACGCGGCTCGAGCGAATCGTTCAAAACGGACGGCATCAGTGAGCGCATGGCGCGCAGCCCGGCGCGTGTTCACATGAGATCATACCCAGTCTGGGCACCTACGCCGGCGATAATGTACAGGCGGAGCCGGTCTCTGCGGAGGTGAGTCCTCTCTCACTGTCCGGCGGCGGTGAGCGGTACGGCCGCGGCACTCTCCGCGCCGGCCGGCTCCTGACCGGTCAGCCGGCGCTGCGAGGCCGCGCTCAGTCGCTTGCTGATGTCGTTCAGGTTGTCCCTCTTCTTGGCACGGCTCGGCTCCGGCTGGACGGTGTCGGGAGCGGCGGTGGAGTCTGTGGACCGCTGCCGCCAGCCGCAGGAGAGCGCGTGCTCCAGGGAGAAGGTCTCTTTGCAGGGGGCGCAGCTACAGTCGCCGGCGGGGCAGGCGCGGTGCGCAGAGGTCATGTGCTCGCGCAGCTCGGCCGTGGTGCAGAAGCCGCTCAGGCACACCATGCAGAAGGTCTGGGGACAGACGCGGTCACAGAGTTAGACAGACGCCAACGGAAAGAAAACTAAAACAAACAGTGTCCATTGTTTTCTCAGTTCTTTTGTTGACAAATGATTTGGTACACTCTCAAGAGTTTGGTTTTTATCCACTGCTCCCCTTGTAAGCTATTGTGACGTCTCTACATTTCCGCTGCCATCAGGAGCGTCTCGGCCTCATCCAAACTAGTTCTGTGTGTTTCCGGACGTCACCTGGGGCCACTAACCCCTGGTGGCCACCACCGCCAATGTCTCGGTGCGCGCTCACAAAAACTGGTCCGAAATGTGGCGCGCTTTCCACCAAAAACTGGTCAGATGTGGAGCGCTTTTAGCCAAAAACTGGTGGCGCGGCCAGCAGAGGATGACCTCTGCGTGTCAGATGAATCTGACCGATTAGAAGGATGGCGGGGATGAGACAGAGCTGCTGATTGATTTCGTCTCATGCCCTCCCCAGCTGACAAAGCGCAGATGGGCTGATGTGCTGGCGAAAGGAACACGTCTCTGGGAGAGGGTGTTAGGCTACCTATATTCGAACCAAAAGAAGTATTTCTGCACCCAGCTACCACGCTCTAGCAGTGTTCTTCGATTTTAAAAAGAAGTGTGATTTAGCGCGAAGTGAGATGTGGCACAACAAATGTTGACCTGAAGCCATGTTTATTGCGGGTTATCATCCGTGTGCTGCGATTGCCCTTCGCTCATACACATCCTGAAGGTAATGCCCAATGCAAATAATTCTGAAAACTGTTTAAAGGTTGATAACGAAAGGACGTCAAATAAGCAAGTTATCAAAATGACGATCGAACTGAAATTGCAAAGCTTATCAATAATGTGAATGTTCTTGAAAAAGAATTAATTTTAAAATGAAACTGGCTTACATGAAAATGCGAGTTAATTATAGGCCCCTGTCTGTTTTTCAGCTCACCTTATCCTGGCCCTGGTCTTCCTCGGCGATCTCGGACACCCAGCGGCTGTTGTGACGCTCCAGCAGCGCCCAGGCCTGCTCGTGCTCCGCCTCCACATGGTCCTTGACCCCCTCCAGGTCGAAGAAATGCTCCTCGCAGATGTGACACCAGAAGCGGTGCTGGGTGGCCGGCGCGCCGGGCGCGTGCTTCTGGGTCTGGTGGTGCGCCAGGTTCTCCTGCGTGGAGAACGTCGAGCTCGGGCAGAGCGCGCACTTGAAGGGCCGCTCGGGCACGTTGCGCATCGTGTAGCTGTCGTCCGATGCTCCTCCGCTGTGCTTGCGCACCAGATGACGGTCGCAGTTGGACTTTGTGGTGAAGTTCACCGGGCAGTGGGGACATTTGTACGGCTTCTCTCCGCTGTGCGTCAGCTCGTGACGCTTCAGCGAGCTGGTCCACGGGAACTCCCGCTTGCACACCTTGCAGGGGATCTTGTTGGGAGCGTTTGAGTAGGCGCTGCGTCGCTTCTCGGCCCGCTCCGGGTCGTCGTCGCTGCCCGAGGCGTCGTCGGCTGCGTCGCTGCGCTCCTCGTCGCTGCGGAAGTACTGCTGGAAGGACTGCGCCTGCGCAGTGTCCACCACGCGCGACACGCTGGCCAGGTCGTCGTCGCGTCGCGTCGGCGGCGGCGGCTCGTCGATCACCAGCTGCGACTCGTCGTCACTGACGTAGCCGTTGGACGGGCTCGGCTGCTGCTCGAGGCCCGGGCTGCCCGCGGACGGCAGCTGCGCGGTCGGCTTCGGACTGCCGTCGGGGCCACCGGTGGGCGGCCTGCGCGTGCCGCGCGACTTGCGCTCCCACTTGTCGGGGTGGTGGTTCTTCACATGCCGGTCCATGTTGGTGCTGAGCGTGAAGCGCGCCTCGCAGTAGTTGCAGGAGAACGGCCGCTGCGTGCGGTAGCGCCGCTGCTTCGGCTTGCTCTTGAGCAGTCCGTCCGACAGCACCTCCTCCCGCGGGGTTCCATCGCGAGGAAGTTCGATGGCGTCTGCCCGCGGCGACCACCGCGACTCCTCAGTCTCCTTCCTCTCGATCTCTGCCGACCGCTCCAGTTGCGCCTGAGCCGCCAGCGACATGAACGCGTGCATCTGACTCTGCTCCAAGATACCGCCGCCAGAGCCCAGCTGGAACCCGCGCGCCATCTCTCGGCTGAATCGGTTCTGCCAGTTCTCGTCCAGGGCATACGGGAAGATGCCGGGCATAACGAACAACGGCATGTTGGGAGGATACGGCATATACAGGTTCAGAGGCGGTGGCAGCACCGGTAGCTTCGGCTCGGCAGTCTCTGCCGATTGTTTCGACGCTGGCTCCTCGGAGCGTTTTGGTTCAGCGGACTTTTTGCTGAGGTCGAGCGGCATGGCCTCGTCCTCCGGCTCCGGGATCGGTGACGGGGAGCGCTCGCGCACGGATGGGGTGCGAGCCGCTGGCTGGACCGGCGGTGCCGGAGGAGCAGGAGGAGGTGGTGCGGGCGGAGAGGCGGCAGGTCGCAGGGGCACGATGGGCGGCGGCGGGCGCTTCATCATGCTCGGGATCGACAGCAGGGTGGGCGGCATCGAAAGCGGCATCGGGCGCCGCTTGCTTTGGTCGATGAGACTCTCGACGCTGCTGAGGTCAGACGAGTCGTCACGAGACCGTTCCTGCAGCACCAGCCCAGGTTCCTTGGTCGGGTGGTGTTTGCGCACATGTTGTATCGCCTGCGCCTGCTCCGGGAAGTTGAGGTCGCACACAGTGCAGATGAAGAGGCCGCGCCGTGACGGCGGGTGCTGCGACCGCATGTGCTCCTTCAGCACCTTGGGCATCTTGAAGTCGGCGTGGCAGATGGTGCAGACGGAGCTCTGCGCCGGCTGGGAGGCCGGCTTGGCCGGCGACGTGTCAGCCGGCAGGTGGACCACCATGTTGTCGTTGAGTAGCTCCCTCAGCTTCAGCTGGTGTCGGTTCTTCAGGTGGCGCTCGCAGTTTGCTTTAGTGGTGAATGCGAACTTGCAGACGCGGCACTCGTAGGGACGCTCGCCGTTGTGGTCTTTCATGTGCCTTGTCAGCGTGGATTTGTCTCCACTGGAGAAGGGGCACACGTTGCATTCGTACGGCGTGGAGCTCATGTGCACGCGGTTGTGACCCTTCATGGCGCGGAGGTTGGGGAACACCTGGTCGCAGAGACGGCACGGGAACTCTCCCTTGGCCTTCATGGCACGGATCAGCTCGAAGGCCGGGTCCTCGGGGTCGTCTCCGCCGGGTGCTCCGGCGGGCCTGCTGTCACTGGCCTCTGTAAGAGGGTACTGAGGCGGCGGGCTGGTGGAGGCGCGGTCCCCGCGGAATGGCGAGCTCGGCGGCAGACGCGACGGCGGCGCGCTGGCCGCGCCCGGGCTGGTCAGACCCAGGATGGAGCGGATGTCAGCCAGTTCTCCGCGCGAGTCGCCGCGCCGACCCCCGGAGGCCGGATAGCCGCCGATGTGCTGGATCCAGTCGCTGCACTTGTGCTGTGCCTCGTGCTGCTGCAGGGCGTCCGCGTCGCTGGTGCGGAAGCTGCACTTGTCGCAGCTCAGTGTGGCCTCCTTGGAAGACCGTCCGGCCGGTGATCCGCGGCCAGCAGCGTCCTCGGAGGGGGACCCTCGCCGGTCCAGCAGCTTCCCAAGCGTCGACATCTTCTCTAAGCCACCTCGGCGAGGCTCCTCGGTGTCGGATTCGATCTCGATCTCTGCTGGAGGGCGGCGCTTGCCTTCCGGCGCGTCGGAGGCTGCGTCCGACTCGTGTCCGCTGGCGCTGCGTTTGCCGGCGCGCCGCTCCTCGCCGCAGTGCGTGCTGCGTGTGTGCCGCTGCAGACTGCCGCTGGTGGCGAACCTCATTCCGCACTGGCGGCACGGGAACGGGCGGTAGCCGGAGTGCGTCAGCAGGTGGCGGTCCAGCGCCGCAGACGAGCTGGTCCACTTGCTGCAGAAGCCGCAGGGGTAGCGGCCGTCGGCGTCCTGCGCGCGCGTGCTGTGCGTGCGCGTGTGCTGCGTGAACAGCTGCGGGCTGAGGAAGGCGGCCTCGCAGCCGCGCGCCGGGCAGGCCAGCAGGTGAGGCGTCTCGGCGGGCGGCAGGTCGGCCACGCTGTCCACTGAGCCGCCGTCCGAGCCGCAGTCCGACATCTGTCCGACAGAGAGGGCGGGGGCGGGGCGTTATATGCGGCAACTCCACACATCATGTCGGTGCTGGTCAATATGTCGGGGGCGGCAGCTCGACTGACGCACGAGTTCGTGCCCATCGCCGAGCATAATGGCATTGCAAACAGACTATTGCAGTTTTTGTTCGAAACGTGCGTCACCCATTCCGTTTCCTCCGCGTTTTAGACGGCACATATCGAAGGTAATGGTTCCTTCAGTCCAAACATATCCATAATGACACCCATAATACGATCAGCGCTCATTGGCCGGTGTCGTCCCTGCGCTCCCAAGAAGCGCCGCCACCCACGGGGCGCGCCGGTCTTTACACAGCCGCTGGAGGCCACTGGCCATGTTTGCCGTCTCGGCTTCGTATCGCTGACGGGCCAACAGCGCCGGCCGCGGACCCGGCACCGGGCGAGGAGGCGCATTGTTCGCTCCAGATCAAACAGCGCCGTCCGGTGACGAGGCGACGAGCGTGCGTCACCGGCGGCCCGTCGGCCTCGGCGCAGAGCGCGGTCCGACTATCGGAGCCCGTCGGCCGACTATCGCGTGCGAGGGGCGACGGCTGAGTCGGAACGTGTTGGCCTGGCCGGGTTTGGTGTCTGAATCATGGGGCATGGTGTAATGGGGCGGCTTGGTATTTAAGTGGGGTTATGTCTCTGAGCTGGAAAATCCAGGAAACATTAGCCCCTTACCTGTTAACCGTAACCGACCATAGTTGGTAGAAAAACGAAATATATATAATGAATTATTCGGAACTAAATTGGCAATGACTGTGATCAACGGAAATCTTTAGGTGGAAAGCATATCCAAAAATAACGCTCCTCTTCTTAACGCGGTTAAGTGAAATATTGAATGCGTATAAACCGTTACATGTTCTGCAGGTAAATGAAAGGCGAAAGGCGTAACGAGTTCCCAACAAATGGGATTCCATGAACGATTTATCCGTGAAAGATAAGAAATGAAACTGGACGTCCACTTTTGGCAGTGAGCTGCACACTCGGGCATTTGACTGTCACAGGCTGCGCAGCACGAAAACTGGAGCACCGTTGCAGAACGACCCCCCATATAGGGAGTTCTTAGGAGTATGGTGACCGTCCTGCACTGGCGTTACGGTACACCCCGCTGTAGCCAGCTCCAATGTGAAGTAGGATGACCCCGTTCAGCGCCGGACCGCTGTGACCTATCCTTATTACCTCGCTCTAAGACAGCTAGTGCCGCTGATACTGAGCCATTGCACTGTGTAGCGAGGGCTACGAGGCCATTTTCTAGGCCAACAGAGGATATTGAGCTGATAACTTTGCACGACTTGCAAAAATGGTGTAGTACAAGTGAAAAGCGAGCGCCAAGATGTTGTACTTTGGTATATTTATGAGCCAGTGCCAATATGATCGCCGAATACCGACCGCCTGTATCGCTTTGTGGTGTCTTTGGTCGGATATTTTCTGGTACAGATGGTGAGACGCCGGCACGGACTCCGTACCGTATGGCGAAACTCGGACCAGGGAAAACCGAGCGTCATTAATCGCCCTCAAGTGCGCCATGATTGCCTTCAGATCGGATCTAATTGTGAATGATGACTGCGGCCGTGACCAGTTCGGAATAGAACACCATCTGTCCTTCGCGTGGAATATCACAAAAACTGACGCTTACCTAAGACCACTGATGCTCACCAAGCATACAATCATATCATAACTCTCACGTATACCCCAATAACGTAGCGGCGGGCTTGGCGGCCACAGCTATAATCTGCCCAAATGACAGCTTCTGCTGAAAAGTGCAGCACGCCTCCATTCAGCCCTATTCCACGGCCGGTGGTTTATTCCCGGCGCCATGTCGGGGCGTACTCGACGACGGACCGGTGGGGTCTAACCGGCGGTACCGCACCAATGCAGACAGCACAGCGCAGCCGACAACCGTGAGTCGACACAGCTAGCACGGGGCCACAACAAAGCGCCCGGTTAATTAGCCAATGGGCGGCCAGCAACTGCCCACGGCACCCCGGCCAACAAAGGGCGGAAACGGCGTATCTCGGTCCCGAGACAGTGACTGGAGACAGGTGTCTGGCCGCGCTGTCTGCAGCTGGACTGTCTGAGCTGTCTGGAAATGGACTGTATGTCTGGGGTGCGCTGTCTGGGAATGGACCGCCTGGGATGCGCTGTCTGAAACCATGGGCTGTCTGCGCTGTCTGGAAATGGTCTGTCTGGCTGCAAGGTGCGCTGTCTGGAACATGACTGTCTGAATGTGGTCTCTCAGTGTGTTACATCGCCTGGAGCTAGTCAGTCTGTCTGTCATCGCTACACTGTCCGGCTTTTTATCTATGTAGTAGACCACATTCTCTTCATCTCCATGTATCTCTTGAGCTGTTACCGCCCCGCTCTGCATTGTGTCCAATGTTTGCGCTCGTACCGGTTCGTGACTAAGTGACTTGTCTCCGAAAAACATGGCCATTGTGAAAACCGAGGAGTCAGAGGACAGATAGGTGAACGGAAATGAACAAACGCGGCACGAATGGGGTTAACAAAGCACAGCAGCTAAGCACCCCCACAAGATGCAGTGATAGGATTCAGGCCGATTTGAGCTCGGCTAGACACAGTGCTAAGATGATTAACGACAGGAAGGAATACCGCCCGGTTCGCTGGGTGGCCAGCGTCGACCGCGACGTACCTTGTCGTCGTTAGCGACAGCGTGCAGTGCGGCCCGGTCGCCAGGCGGAGAGACGCCCTCCTCAGAGGCGGTAGTGCTCTTGTCAGCCGTCATACTGGCCTGGCGCTCATAGTCTGAAACGGGGGCGAGCAAACGTCAGAGGGATGAAACAAACTTCAGAGGCACGGATTGATCTTAAGTGGGGCGAACGGTGAGCACAGAGTGCAGCGCATCGGCCATTGTCATTGTCATCGCATTTGTCATGTCATTGACCAAAAAGACGGGCTCGATAATCCCAACCGTGGATACAGAGGGAAGCACTTTAAATATTTCACCTCGTGCGGCAGGCCGGCGTGCCTCGCAGTGAGTTTGTGGTTAGCTCAATGTACTCGTGTGTAGTTAGCTGAGCTCGTGGTGGTGAGACAGCGAGTGAGACGACACACGGCGGATGCAGAAGACGAGGAATGACAGTTCAGACTGGTCGGGTCTGTCAGGCTGTGATACCTGCGCCACAGGCTGCACACGGTGCACAATGCACGTGCCCATACGACCTTTTTGCAGATAACAGACCTGTCTGCACGCCTTTTTATGTGTAGTCGCGTGGCGTTGGAAAGATCCAACGACCAGAGGACAAAAGGACTTTGTAAGTCTTTATAAAACTGTAGCACTTCTGCACAACCTACCAAAGGCGTCTCTCAGCCGCTTTGATCGAAGGGAGACTGCCTGTGTAAGTATTACTGCAACTTGCATCATCATCATGGCCGTCACCGCCGTCACCGTCCGATCTCTGCGCCCCTGACTGTCCTGTGACAGATGACAGTCGGTCACGGCTGCCATCGACCTGTCACACCGTACTCGCGCGCCCGGTGAGAAAACTGAGTCACGTTCACGTACATCCTAGCCGTGAGTCAGAGTCCGAAATGGCACCGGGGGGCCGCTCTCAGAACCCCTGTGACGGCCACAACTGCGGAGAACGCCGACGGCGGCTCAGGCAGCTCACCGGGCCGGCCACCGAGCGGTTAGCACAGCCCGGCTCTGATGTGTTGACATGGGCAGCTTACAGTGAGCTGGTTTGCATGAGATATAAGCACGCGAGGTAGCAGCTTATTTTCACGCCCTTTGTAGGTCCAGTGTACCTACCTACATGTAACTTCTTCTAAGCGAATTACTGCCACTTCATGCTGATGACATTTTGGGTTAGGGTGTGCCGACCAGAACGTAAGCAAAAAACAGTAAAACTGCGTCCGCAGCCACCTTTTGCTAGTGTGTCCGTGAAAGCATCACGTGCATATGGCCCGCTCCTGACAGCAGCGACGAGGAAAGCCGCGGCGCCGACGCCAGTTCGAGGTGGCGATTCTCCGAATGAAAGGACTGGCCGGGCCGCGGTGAGACGGCCGCCGAGCACTCATCTGGATACCAATCTGAAAATCGACCCAAACATGCACGGCCGGTGCCACGCCGTGTCGGCTCTGCCGCCGAAAGGAGCACACACGAATTGGAAGGGGCCGGCTGTGGAGGTCGCGCGGACAATCGCTGCCATCGGCGGCCCAGTTTGTGGGAGTGGGAGGCCGATTCGGGCGGTGGAGGACACCCGAAGAAGGCACGTAACGGGCAATGCATCACGTGAGCAGTGGCGCAGCCAGGGGGGGGGGTCAGAGGGTCAGCTGACCCCCCCGAAATTTCTGTCAGGGGCCCGCTCGAGAGAGAGAGAGAGAGAGAGAGAGAGAGAGAGAGAGAGAGAGAGAGAGAGAGAGAGAGAGAGAGAGAGAGAGAGAGAGAGAGAGAGAGAGAGGAGAGAGAGAGGTCCTAATCTAATCGGACGAGCCCGCTTCGAGAAATGCCCACTGCGACACCTCGGGTGAGGGGTCGGCCTGGGGCCCCAGGTGGACAGGGCCCGGGCCCCCAGGAGAACGGGCCCGGCCCCCTGGGTGGATGGGACCCGGGCCCCCTGTAGATGGGTCCGGGCCCCCGGGTGGATAGGGCCCGGGCCCCCCGGCGGATGGGGCCCCGGTGGATGGATCCGAGCCACCGGGAGAACGGGCCCCGGGTGGACGGGGCCCGGACCCCCGGGTCCCGCGAGAACGGGTCCAGGCCCCTCGGGTGGATGGGGCCCGAGGCTCCGGGAGAACGGGCCCGGGCCCCCTGGGTGGAGGGGGCCCGGGCCCCCGGCTGGATGGGGCCCGGGCCCCCGGGAGAACGGCCCTGAGCCCCGGGTGGACGGGGCCGGACCCCCGGTTGGATGGGGCCCGGGCCCCGGGAGAACGGGCCCGGGCCCCCTGGGTGGATAGGGCACGGGCCCCTGGGTGGATAGGGCACAGGCCCCCGGGTGGATGGGGCCCGGGCCCCGGGAGAACGGGCCCGGGCCCCCCGGGTAGATGGGGCCAGGGCCCCCGATGGATGGGTCCGGGCCCCCGGGAGTACGGACCCCAGGCCCCGGGCCCCCGGCTGGATGGGGCCCGGGCCCCCTGGTGGGCGGGCCCCGGAGCCCCGGGTGGACGAGGCCCGGAGCCCAGGTGAACGTGGCCCGGGCCCCCGTATGGATAGGGCTTGGTCCCCCATGTGGATAGGGCCCGAGCCCCCGGGTGAATGGGGCCCGCTAGGGTGACCCGCTTGCTTCGCAACGCGAATAAGGGGTATTTTCGATCGGTGGGCGTTTGGTTGGTCTTGTGTCTGTGGGTTATGTATCCATTACGGTCGATTGCCTTTTGACGGCTAAGCATTTTGGTTTTGGGAAAAAATATCCATCGCATCGAGGTGCTCGTGTCTGATAATAACCATGCGTTCTACTATAGAACATGCCAAGTGTATTTCATGACATAGGTTGGCGTAGGTTATTGAAGAGTGAAAGCCATCGATGAATTACTATGTAGAGGTTTGAAACATTTATATTCTTAAGAATATTGTTGCTCGTCATGCAAAAGCGATGATTGGACCTTGGTCACAATTGAATGCTCTTCCAATCTATGCCCATTTCAATTGTCAAACATACCAGGTTATGTAGCAAAACCCCTGTAATTAAGTAAGTCATAAGCAAATGCTATTTTCTCCAGCAATTTGTTCCACCTTGTTTTTGATCAATTAGCTTTTCACAATTTTCCCATGAGAGGCGGTAGGTACCTACATTTCTCTTGCCAACAAGCGTTGTTTGAACCCGCTCCGTCTGACAGTCACCCAAAAATAGCATTAAGTCCAAAATCCGTCCAAAACGTCAATTTTTCAAGCATAAGTGCCCTCACGGGTGCACGTGGCGCGTGCCATCCCTGCACCGCACACCATTCGATAGCCCGTTCGATTCTCATGCACGATACTGTGTTCCTCGTGCCGATCGGACCCACGGTTACCGAGATACTGCACGGGGACCGGACCCGTGTCGGGCAAGTTGAGCCATTGTCGCCCATTTTTGCAAGCCGATTTATGCATGTAAAGTCTATGACGCGAATTTGCACTTTTTGAGCACGCGCCATGTGCTCACCACCGGCCCAATCGAGCTGTGACTCTTCACAGGCACGTTACCCATCCTTGTTCTATAAGTTGCGCGAATTTCAGCGCACTATGGAAGTTACGTCGCGATCAGCCGCTTTTTTACGCGAGTTCTTCGCGAAAAAAAACCTTAGGGGGTTGCATCAACCCCTCCCCCCTGTGCCGGCGAGGGTTAAAACTTCTTACGAGCGAATTCACGCAATGAAGAAGAATAAAAGCACAATCTACTACAGCAGCCAACAGATGACTTAGGACAGGCACATGGGACTACTTTTAAATCTTGTGCGACAGAAGCAGGCAACAGTTCCGATTGCATATAATATGCTATGCATATTGCGGAATTGGGGCTCATATCGGACTCGAAAGATACGAAGTCATACGTCATAGTAACATATTTCTGTCGTGGTCAATTTGCGTAAAAAGTGAAGACCGGGTGATTACCGAGCTACTGTTCTATGCAAATTTTCTGATTCAAACTCGCTCAGGGTTATCGTGCAGGTAAAGGGGGCCCGCCCAGCAGAATGCGTATGAAATATGGAGAGATTCTGAAAAATGGGTGGGGGCCCGCACACTAGGGGGCCCGCTTTGGAAGCGATGACCCCCCCGAAACGAAATCCTGGCTGCGCCACTGCACGTGAGTCCGGTTGTGGCAGTGACGGTGCTACCGAGTAGGAGAGTTGAAGAAATAGGGGAAGATACAAGTAATCTCGTTTTAATTTCATATCAAACGCAAAACATCGAATAGCAATTATCTTGTGTTCGTCTTTACATGAAGACAAGAAAAGAATGTGCTGTTTTATTGTGTGTAGGTACGGGTAACATTGACGAGGCGTTTTATGTAAGTAGGTACTATCATTTATGCGTTTTAGATGAGAACATAGCTGTGACATTTTCTTATACAATGCTGAATTTAGCTGATTTGCTGACCGTACTCGGACATCTGACATACGGTAATTTTAGCCGAAAAGATGACGTTTCGGTCGCCTTTTACGATGCGATGTCAATTTTTCTGCCTTATGAAATGACTCGTCATGTCGCGTTTGTTCCACCATTCCTGAACGCGAATCATTCCATTCCAGACAGTTTGGGGGAGTTGCAAATGACGATTCGTCGTCTCACCTGAACCGACCCAGTCAACACGCGATCAATGAGCTCGTTATGCGTTTGTGAGAGTGGTTGCAACTCAAGACGTGACATGATGTCATCTGGTCCTGCTCTGTTGCATTTGCATTATTGTTAATTGAACATGGTTTGATCATAATCTGCATCAGTCCTGTGGATCCCGTTGTCTGGATATGTATATTGATTTGTATTGATTTAAAACTGTTAACCGGAAACGACTTGGGCCTCCATATTTGCAGGCGTCGTTGATAGCGAGAGCAAAATGGCGGATGCCCTGAGACGCAGTTCAATGATAATCACCATAAAAATATCACCACGTTTCCCATCCTTTTCGGAAACTTTTGCATATGCCATATATATCATCTTTGATCATGGGACACGGTTTGGATACATGCTGACATGGACGATGAATATTTGCACAAAATAAATTTCAAATCGTTTTCTATGTTTGTTTGTTTATGAAAAAATGAAAAACTTGCAGCGAGATGTAAAATCGAAGAGTAATAGTCTGAGCATCGATCACTGGGCCTCTTTGCTCTTACACTGCACTGCTCTTGGTGTTGTAAGCGATTTGCTGTGATTATGTGGCATTTTTACGTCTACGTCTTCCGGCTGTGTTGACATGAATAGCTTGTTCACTGTCGTACGAAGCCCGTTCTCTGAAGTGCTGAAGTATTATTTGACCACTGCCGTGCATCACCGACCTCTGACTACCCCAGTCGTCTCTGATATACCCCAATCGTCTCATCTAACTTCCCCAATCGTTCAAGCTCGGCTTTTGCGGTATGATCTACATAGAATGCCGCGGACCGCCATTCTGCGTAATTTTGACGCATGCATTTATTTGAATTTTTACATTAGTCGGTGCTTTTGAGATTTCGCTGATGACTGATCCGGGAAGGTGACGTTTATTTCGCATGCGTTACTGAAAGAAACCACTGAATTGAAGAAAAAAAAAACTTTTTTTCGATGGGATATTTTAACGGATATATATACCTTAAACAACCACCAGTTTACGTACATATTTGCATCGTAATTATAAAACAGCTGTACAAGAATATCTGCTTTCCATGGACGGCATGAATTAACGGGCGCCGCTACAAATGCCATATGCCGACTGATATCTACATCTAAATCTGCACTGGAACATGGCGGAGAATACACTATTGGGTGGATGGAAAGCATGTCATATTAACGTCGTCAAAAGTACAAGTGATGTGACATTGCAGCTGAGCTCGTGTGGTGTGGGGAGAATTTCGTGGGTATTGGACGATGAAACAATCGAATCACATGAAGGCGCAATGTTGTATAATATTTTCATAAATATATAGGCATTTCAAACCGCTTAGCCCTTGCGTTTATCAGCGGGATTGTAAATTATTGAGAATATGATCGGCAACGCATACAGCAATATATACAAAATCAATAACAGGAGAAATTTGATGTGCTCCATAAGTCTTCATTGTAAACGAAGTCGGTAGGTCAGAGAGCGATGTTCATTGTTCATGAGATCTAGTAGGCTTCACGTAAATGCGACTCGAACAGGGTTACATAAAATAACAGTGAGACCTTTTGCGACTATGTTGTGTGTCTGAAAATTGGGGCGGAACGGCCTATCACTGTCCCCTAAAATAAAAATAATAGAATTTTATCCCTATGGATAACAACCTCCATAACACAGTCCTCAGCGCTCCGCAGATCGAGAGATTGAGTTTCTGTTATGCACCCCGGTTCACAGTTCCTCTGTGGCTCAACTTCTTTACCACTTAGTAAGCGGTTCATATGCATCCATTTCTACAAATGCCACTAAATGCCCAGAACGTACACCTCACCATAAGCTAGATTTGACGACGTTGGATCCATGCTGAAATATCGTCCAACGATAATCACATTGTCAGCGGCACAGCAGAAAATCAGTCACTCAGGAGCCCACACCACGAGCCCGGCACAATCAGTCACCAGGATCAATTGGCCCTCAAACTCGCCTCTGGAGGAGGCACTCACCTAGCCAAATCCTGTTGTCGAGCCGGGGGAAGCGACTGGCAGCGGCCGCCGCGATCACGCCTAACATGCTCGCGCCGCGGACTGACGGCCGGCGCTGCTCACCGTGCACCTCTCACGCGCTCGCCACTGTATTGGCGACTGAGGGGCAGTCGGCTCCCGGCGCTCCACTCTCCCTGGCGCCCGGCGCCCGCGTCTGGTGACGTCACGCGCGCCTGCCGCCGCGGCGATACTGTGCCGCAGGGTCCTCCGGCCCGAGAGGGCACCCAGGTGCGAGGCGGGACGGACGGCGGGGGCCGGGGAGAAAGGGATCTGGGGAGGGACTGGCGAGGGAGCGTATTTAGGGCAACCAGTGTGCTCGCTAAAAGCTGCTGGCAAGTGCAGACTTGTAGAGGTTTTGATCACCCGTCACCTCCTCCCACAAAAAAACGCCGTATGTATAAGGTAATGCTTATTGCTTAGAGGGGCGAAATACTTTCTCATGTTAAAAGTTCAGTAAAATTTCATTTGTTTCATCGAATATCACGTATATGTAAATTAAATAATGCACGCAACATTATTGAACTCGAAAGCATCCCAATTCCCAATCCCCAATGCTGGAGGTATAGTAGCCGGTTAGCAGCAACGCCATGCTTTCACAAACGTGTGTGTTGGAGATATTCTGAAGCAGCTGAAGTCGTAGGAGCCACGTTTGTCGCCGCGATTGTTCGTGTGGCGCAACTTGCTCAATGCTCACTAGGTCCTTGCGTGCTCGACATGCCGGATATTTTCACGACTCACGAGCCCCGCTCGTGACGTCACGTGTCACGTGCGTAACGCCACACCAGTCACGGCGTCTGGAGAGTTTGGGTCATGGTTGGCTGGTCGGTACAGCGATCGGAAAACATCAGATCATTGGGCTGCTTTTTCAATTGATCTACAAGTGTATTGTATCTCCAGCTTATCCCATTTTGCATCACCGATGCAACCGTCACTAAAAAAAGCAGGCACTTTTATGTTATAAGTTAAAACGTTTTTAATCGAAATGTTGATTATTACTTGTTGCATTGGAAATGGATTGCCTCAGAAGTTAGAAACGTAAGCAGGGGTAAGCATTAGCAAGAAAAGTTGTTTTAATGAACCAATGTACTGAAATATTCTTCAATTTCCGTCTGTCACAGTTGACTTTCTCAGTACCTATAACGACTTCATGTAAAAAACACGTTTTAAACTAATTTGTATGCAACATTTATTTGAGCTAGTATGTGAATGTACGTCAACATTTTTTGGTATCTTTTATTTCATTTCAAAGTACAAAGCAACATTTGGAACCGCACAGATGCTAAGATTTCGACTATTAGGTGTATGTTGTATTGCAATGGCTCAGTATTCTGCACAGGAGATGATCCGGAGCTTGGAGCGTGTCGGTCACTCCTCTCTTAGAAGGAAGCAGGTGACCCCTAATCCCAGCTCAATCTCCGGCGTCACTCACGCGCGCTGTCACCGGCAGGAGGGGCGTCCTCCCGGCCTCTATCTCTGAGCGGGGCAAAGAACAGTGGCCGGCAGACAGTCCTCCCGGCCTCTGTCTCTGTGAGGAGGGCAGAGGACAGGAGTCGGCGCCTCGGCGGAGACCCGTGCCACCTGCGACCGGCGACGCAGCCCAGCCGGCCGGCCACTCCCATAGACAGCTGCGGCGGCCGGAGACAGATCCACTAATTAGTCCACCGCGGCGGATGGAGACTGAGGTGCCCCCCGGAGGGGGGGGGGGGCAGGTACAGGAGAGGATGAGGTGCGCTGCAGTCCGCTGTCCGGGGAGAGGGGAGGGGGACTGTGACGGCGGCCCTGCAGTTAGATAGGAGGGGTCGGTGTCAGGGGGCGCACGGCACTGGTTGGGGACGTTCTGGAACGTATGGACGGCACTGGCCGGATAATGGATATGTGTCAGGGGGATGGTTTGAAAGGTGGTGTCGCTTTAAGGAGCTGGTGAGAGCCAGTTATGAAGTGATATACTGTGAAGCGGCAATGAATATGTGTTCAGCTCAGTGGAATTAAATGTGATCAATCTTAAGTGTTACTGAAACCAATTCGAATGGAAACTGCTTACAATCCTCTCGCCTTGGTATTTATCATAGCGAAGCTTATAACAAAAGCTACTGCAGCACTGATATTGGTCCATTTGGTTGAAAACACTGTTGCAGTGTTCACTTATGATACATGTATTTTAAACCACAGCTTCCTGAAGAACACACCCAGTTTCCAGCGGAGCACGGCTGAGGTTCTTGACATCCTGGACGGTGTCAATCTGCCGCCATCCGGCCGCCGGCCGATAGGACCTGTCACCGCAGAGTCCGGTGCGGTGGTGACCTCACACGTTGCCGCCCGACGCGTGCAGCCTAATCTGCCTCCGGCCCAACCGCCGCGCCGTCCCGGCCGCCCGGGGTCTCCGGCGGCGCCGCCCCCTCCCCCTGCCGCCTCCGCCTCCGCCGCCGCCGCGCCGAACCCCCACCACCCCGCCGCCGTCTCCGCTGCCGCCGCCGCAGCCGCAGCCGCCGTGTCGCCCGTGTTGATCCGACCCAGAAACGAAGGCGCGCGCGGCCCGCTGTCGTCCTCGATCCTAGCCCCAGTCGTCACCGACGCGCGGCCGACGATCAAACACGGTATGTTGACGGCCGAGGCGACACCCGGACTCTAGCCCGCCCGCCCGCCGCGACCCGCAGCCTCGCCCCGCAGGCGGAGGTCGCGCCCGCCTTATCTTGGTGGAAGGTGTGCTAAAAACGGCGTGCGCCGGTAGGGGAGCCGGGTCCCGCCGGGTGCTTATCTCGATGTTGCAGGCACTTTAGAAAATCAGTCATTTTGTAAAATGCCTAGGCATTTTGCAAAATGCCTGATTTTCCAGGCTTTTTGCAAAAAGCCTAGGCATTTTACGAAATGACTGACTCTCCAGTCATTTTGCAAAATGCCTAGACATTTTACAAAATACCTAGCCATTTTACAAAATGACTGAGCAGCGTGTTGTAGATACGAGTACCTAATTATATACGTTTTGGTAGCGTGTAGGTGGACCGAGGAGTCCAGCATTATGACCAGAGGAGTCCAGCAGTGGGAAGTCCATACCTACCTCTATTTTGAGAAGTGCAGGCCCGCGACATTTCCAACCCCCACGTCAGCGACGCTGCTGGATTTAAAATGATCGATCTGGAGCGTCAACAAACGACTGGCCCTATGCCGGCCTGTATCTGTAAAACTATTAGAGGTCGCGAGGATTCGATCCCACACACTTAGGCGTTAATGTCTTCTGAAACCAACGCTCTCGTCCTACGCCAAGCGACCTGATGATTCTCCCGATGTGGAGCTTGATATTTTTAACTGGAAACATGCAAGTAGGTACTCAAAGCTGTCAAACAAAGACACAATCAAACAAAGACTACACTAATTCGTTTACATGTAATTGTACATCAACCGGGCCTGCCTATTGACTAGGGCCGGTCTCCGGCTGGTTTTGTTAGGTCTAGTTTCAGGCAGAACATGAACGGCGTTGATGTACTGGGGAGTTTTTTACAGCGTTAACTAAACAATGCTTTATGCTACAGCCGAGTCTGCAACTCAACCTGGTCGTTACTCAGCATTGTCGTCATCACAGAGCTTCAAATCGATCAGCTACAGGCTGAACACGTACTATTGGTCTCAAGATAAGGGTCCAGGCGACCTGTAGGTTTGATGCGGTGAATACCCCCACCTTCGCCACACTCACTCGGTGCTACGGAGCTCCGATCTCGCGACCGGTCACCTGTACTTGTAGACTGTGCCGCATGACATAGCAGTCGAGCGGGCCAGCGGAGCTTAGGCGGAAACTAGCGCCGCGTTTGACAGAGAAGGAAGCTCACCATTCCGGCGGGAGGGCCGCTCGCCATTTTAACTCCATGCAGCTTCTCGCTGACAATGAAAGACACTACAGGACGACAATATATCGTTCCGCAAAAGTGATGTCCACTACCTATGACAACACTTTCCTGTTCCTAATCGTGTCCACACCTGAGGGATGACGATTCAGGCTGCACTCCTGCATTGCGCGGTCCTTGGCCGCAGAGCATGAGGACGAGGTGACGAACGAACCTCGGGTCACGGATCACCGAGCTACGGCCAGTTTCACAGAGATTGTCCACCTGAACGGCTGCGTCGCTACGTGAATTGAAATTTCTATCAAGGGAGCTGAACCAGACAGTCGGCATGCTCCAGGCCGAAATGACACAGCGTGTCATTGCTGATTGGTTGGGACATCTGCCTGTTTTTGTTTTGTTTTTTGCAAGTCTTAATTATAGAAGAACTGTCTGCACAGTCCGGTGTTAGTGGGGTAAGCATACGGCTGCTGGCAGTGTTGCTGATCGTTCCAGTTTGCCGGTGTGCGCCTACCATTTCAAACGTTACATAAATCGCATTGAAAAAGGCGACCGGGAAGAGGGGCCAGTAGTTGGCGTCAAATTGGCCAAGCGGCTCGCGCTGAAGCGCTATCACATCTCCAAACAGGACCGTGAGACGCAATTGGAAGAGCTCTCCAAGGCTCATTACCTACCTTCGGCCCAATACTAAGCCAACGCATGGTCAATGACATGTTGACATGCATTTTCAATCAGGACGGTGCGCCAACTCATCGCTCTGTCAAGGCCTAGCGGTGGTGCGAATTGAACGTGCCAGACTTCTGAAGGAAAGAGATGCTAGCCGGCTGCCCTCCGGACCTCATCCTGATCGACGAACTTTGGGCTGTCGTCCAGCAGGACCTGGACAAACAGAAGCCGGCGGCCAACCTCGGCGCCTTGTCGTTACAGCTCAAACGGGCATGATAAAAAATCCAGCCGTATTTACTGCACAACCTAGTTGCCAACATGCAAATTTGCGTTCGTATGTAAGTCCCTGTTCGTGGGGAATAAACTGAACGCTAAAGAGAATCGCTGTCCCCTATGTAATAACTTAGAGATAACATTTTTTTTAGGATAAAACTTATGCCGGACCATGTAGCTCACGCAGCATTCATTGCAGTTTCACCTTAGACTGCAAGACGTGGCAATTGGTTTAGGACATAGCAATTAATGTTGTCATGATCGGCATACCGCCGAGAACGTCACTATTTATATCATTATCTTAACGGTTGCATATTTCAACCTTCATAAC